AGAATTACTTTGTACAGAACAACAACAAAAAAAAAATGTTCTTTTTGCCATAACGAATATTTGAATTTAACTATTCATACTGATTCACTTTTGAATTTATCTGCTACAGTGTTTGTTATCTCAATTTTTGTATTATTTCGTAAGAAAAAAAAACACACACAAAAGTTTGACATTCAAATGAGAATAAAAACATAATAGTAATGATTAGAAGTTTAATATAAGTTAAATTTGTATCTAGTTTTAGAACTTAACAGATATGAATCAACAATTGTTTTATTTGTAAGTTTTTTAAAAAGTCAATACAAAAAATAAAAAGTTTTTCGTGCCTGTCAAATATAAATCGATTAATTAATTGAATATAAATTTCATAGACAAGTAGTAAAATACGATTTTTTGAATTAAAACAAAATAAACATAGTACAGAACTTGACAGAAAATTATATTGTACTCGCCTTTGATATTAGTACTCAATTTACGAGATGAGTCATATCTTAAATCAAAACTAACAAGAAAATCTTTTCTAATATCAAATCAAAATCATTCTAGACTTTTCTATTACTCATTAGTATTCCTCAAATGAATATCATCTTGATTGAAAAGCAATTTAATATCTTGAGAATTATTCTTATTAGAAAATTCTCGAATTCAACATTAAAATAAGATTTATATAGAACATTTGAGCCTTTATTTTTTATTTCTGAATACCTTCAACTATAATTTTGTATGAATGCAAATATTACTCATCCTATTAAAATCTCTCTCTTAAGGCTTACTATAATCTTATAAAGTTCTTTTTTTTTTTTCTCTTGCAAAGATTACTTTGGACGTTTATTTTTTCTTTTTTTGTATAACCTTCTTATATTATTTTACTATTCAGAAAAACTTTTAATTCTCTTATTCGAACAATATATTTTAATCTTTATATTCAAAGGTATGGCTTTATGAAAGAAATTATTAAAAAATATAAATCTCATGCAACAAAATTATTACATCTATTTGAAAATATCTATAGTTGGATGCCTATTGCAAGTCTTATTGATGATCACATCTTTGTTACACATGGTGGTATTAGTGATATAACAGATTTAACTAAAATAAATCGAATTCAACGCAATAAAGTTTGTATTAAAAAAAAACAAAAAAAAGAATTTTTCAAACATTGTTATTGTTTATCTATAGTATGTTTCAATCTTAAGTCCAACTTTTGTTATACCAGAAAATGATGAACAAGTTCAAATAAATGGTTTAACAAATGATCAATTACTTGAATGGAGACAAATGCTTGATTTATTATGGAGTGATCCAAAACAAGGAAATGGTTGTGAACCAAATACATATCGTGGTGGTGGTTGTTATTGGGGTCCAGATATAACAAATCAAATTTTAGAAAAACATCATTGGACATTACTTATTCGATCACATGAATGTAAAGAAGAAGGTTTTGATTATTGTCATGATAAAAAGGTTTGTTTTTTTTTTATTTTATTTATTTTAATTGTTAAGATTTTTTTTTGTTTTTCAAAAATCTAATCTATAGGTGCTAACAATCTTTTCAGCATCAAATTATTATGCAGCAGGTAGTAATCGAGGTGCTTATGTTAAAATATCAACAAATCAACCACCATCAATTGTACAATTTATGGCAACAAAAAATACAGTTAGACCATTAACAGTATGGGAAAGGTTTGTTGAGAAAGACAGATTTGTTTGTTTGTATTGATTTTTATTATTAGAGTATCATATGTGGAAGAACAAGCACTTCGAAATCTAATGGAAAAATTTAGTGCAAATAAAAGTCGACTTATGAAAGAATTTAGAGTTAAAGATCCACATCAGTCTGGTAGGTCACATGAGTTGATTATTATTTTCTTCGTTAAAATTCACAGCTAGAAACTTTTTAAAACAAAAGATAAACATGCTGGGTTTTATTCCAATTTTTCTCTCTTTCGTAGCTACCAGGGAGTAACAGCAATGCATTGATTATTCGTTTAATAACTTTTTAATGATGCATTATATGACGTTGCTCGATATTTTACATGTACGAGTGAATGCTAAGATCTATTTTTTTTTTAATTGAAATAACGATACCTGGAATGTTAGACAGTACTAAATGAAGAGATTAACACAGACATTATATCTATTTGTTTTTCGTGAAACTTGTTTACTTATATAATCAAAAATATTGCATATAAAATAGACTTCTAGGATTAGCAACAGAACTATTAACAGTAATAAATCATTTTTTAAATTTGTACTCGATGCATAAGATCGACTTCAGTCATCTATGAAATGCTTGGAAAATAATAAGTGCCCTTCAACCTAGAGTTGCAGTCATTTTACTAAAATTTTAGGTTATAGTACGATATTTACGAACCAGAACTAGGGATAGAACAGAAAACCATTGTCCAATGCCCAGTTCTACTACCAGCAAATACATTGTAATAATCAATAAGAGTTTTGAGTTTTACAAACTGTTATTTATATATAGCTGAAAATATAGGAAATGAAAAAGAATTAATCATATCTTAACTGAATATTATAATTAAACGAAGCGATTTTTTCTCATAATAATCCACAGTGAGCATCTTTAGTATTCAATTATCAAAGCTTGAGAAATTTTTATGACTAATGATATTGGCAGAATATCAAATACTATTGAACGAGTGTTGAGCACAACTGATTGAATTCGACTGAAGTCCAAATATGAAAAGTTATATGTAATAGTTTTATGATCATTCAAAGTATATAAGCTGCTTTAGAAATTCAATAAGAATAATGAATATTTAAAGTATCTGTCGAATTCATCTTACATAAATCATAAATCAACAATTAGTACATCTTCAGAACATACTCAAAAACATCTCAGAGTTTTATACAGGATAAAATTTCCTCAGAGTAAGTTTTAAACCTTAGAAGAACATTATCTTAAGAACTTAAAGTTATTTAAAAAGTAACCAACGGATGGTCTAGATTAAATGGAATAAAGTTATCTTTGTTTTTTTGCATCACTCCAATACATTTTCAGAAAGTAATCATTCTTTTTTTTTGAAAAGAATTGTTCTGTCATCCCATATAATCACTAGTAAGCTTTAATTTTCGAAATATTGTGAGACTTTATTTCCTAAATATATCAAACGATGCAAACTTTTTTTTTAAACATGTTTGAAATTTGAGCAAATTGTCATACGAAAAAATAAAAACAAAAAAGATCTATATTTATTATTTGATTTAGGTCGCATAGCTCTCAATGAATGGTGTGACATTGTAACGCATGTTCTTGAACTCCAATTACCATGGCGAACATTAAAATCACGTCTTGTTGATATAGATTCCAATGGACTGGTTTTATATGAATCAACTTTTCGTTCACGAGAATTACAATGTTTACTGAATTCTCCAGTTCTTAGTGTAAATTTATTAACAATATTTGTTTTCTTTATTACAAACTTACTTATTCCTCCTTTTTTTTTTTTTTTTTTAGAGACGACAAAGTTTTTGTCAAGCAATTTATCGAAATAAAGATCTACTTGAGACTGTCTTTCGAGCTATGGATAAAGATAATTCAGGTAACAATTTATTTTCAATTCATTGTTTGTTTTTTTTCTCTAAAATTTATTATTTTTCTAATTGATTTATGATAGGTGTTATTTCCTTGCAAGAATTTACCGATGTATGTGTATTTCTGGGTAATCATAATGGATCAAAACTCGATGAAAAACAAATAGTTGATTTAGCAAAAAGTATTGATCTTGATAAGAATGGTGTTATTGATTTTAATGAATTTCTTGAAGCATTTCGTATTGTTACCATTGGTGATCACAATCATGATCATTTATAACACTTCAATATATTTGTAGTGGTTTTCTATTCTTTGAAAAATAAAAAAAAATAATCTGCTAATTTGTTTTTCTTTTAGTTGATAGTATGGAATGAGTCATTTTCGAAAATTTCTATGGATATAGTTTATATCTAACATCATATAAAATGTATTTGTTTAAATAAAAGAAAATTTTGGAAGGACAGGATACATTTTGAAAATTGCAGTAGTAATTGCATCCTATAGATCGATTGATCCCAGTGATAAAACTAACAAGGTAAGTTTTTCAACTGATCAATCGCTTGTACATCGAAACCGACGCGATTGTTGATAACAGATAGAATTAAAGTTCTGAAAGGAGCATCGAAGTATAGAGATAGACATTTGGACTTTCTCTCTTGCCACAGACATGACAGATATCTTAGCAACACCTCTTATTCACTGCAGTAGTAAGAAAGAGCAAAATGTCTTATGTAAAAAACTATATCAAAAGGATTTCTTTGAAACTGTTTCCTGAACACCACGGAAATTGCGCAATCAATGATATTAGATAACTCTTTTGGATTGTTTTTTATTTTTAGAAAAAAGTTCACACAATGCAAAAGATTCTTTTTCTGCACTTCTTTTCTAAGTTTTATAACGTAGGGACAGGAGCCTATTACTGTACCAAAAAAAAAGAAATACTCGACGTGTTTGACAACCATCGATATGAACGTAGTTATAACATCACCGATTTTTTACGACTACTAATCAAAGGTAAAAGTGAAATTCATGGGCTATTAAGTGATAAAAAGAATATTTTTTACATCGTTCGGCCTACGAAATCGATAATTTTGAAAAAAGGAAACAATTCGAATTTTTCGAAACAAAATGTTCTTTATCTTTAAAGCTCAATAGAGATCTTTCAAAAATTTATGTATATTATAAATTGATAAAGAAGTTCACTAATGGATTAGATATATGTTGAAAGCTTCACGAGAATTCGACGAATGAAATATAGGTAGGTATGTATTTGATCATGGAGCCATTATTGGGCAGTTGAAAGGCAATCCAGAACAAAGTTAGCATAATCAAGTCAAAATTTCTTCGATTTAAATCTGTTTGAAGCAAAATCAAAAAAAAGATAAACGCTTTCATCAGAAAATCGCAGTAATCAATTGAAATTTCATCATATGGCTTTCGATCACAATTTGATCCGTATGTTCGGTAGAGGTCCAGCACTCCATTCTTTGAAAGGATATTCATTACCACTACCACCGTTTTTCCACTTCCAAGTGGTTGGATCAATTTGTGATGTCACCCGACCGCCCATCTTCTCATAAATGTGTCTCATAGCCGGATTCGATGATTGTGCATGTGCATATTTAAATCCTTTTGTCTTACGAGCGTACTCACATGCTAGTTGTAGTAATCGACTGGCCACACCTTTACCTTCTTCGCCTACTTTTGTTGCTTGCAATAGAAAATGTAACACTAAATTAGGAGTGAGTTGCTCTTCCGAGTTGAAATCATGAGAGCTCATCTCATCGAGATCGGCAATCAAATCTTCATGAGCGATACCACTTGTGGTTGTCACATTATAATGAGATATTAGATAGAAGTCTGCAGCAATAATGCATCCTACGATTTCACCTGTTGAACGTTGTCGAGCGAATAAGGAGAGTCGTTGGTCGATGACGGACATCATCAATGGCAAGGCAACATTGTCGTAGTATACATCAGCTGATATACCTTTAAAGACGGTCATTGGATTGGAAGTCGTAAATGAGTGAGAGACCAGTCTTGCGCACTCGCAAACATCTTGCTCTGAACATAATACCTCGAACACATACTCGCCATATGTATCGAGCTCTTGATTACAGTTTGTAGTTGGCGAATGTTGCAGCTTCAAGGTGGTCATCATCGACTATCTGCACAGAAGAGTGATAAGAAGCTGCAGATATGTTTGTGACATGATGCAAGGACTTCTTTTTCTCTTTCCATAGGCACAACACGATATGGCGACTGTTTGATAATAAATGCATTTTCTGACTCATATATTCTATTTGCAACTTCAATATTTGCCATGATTTTCTCTGCTCAATTTTCTTATTAATTTCAATCAAGTGTATGGGTACGCATTACTGTTTTGATGTGGGATATGTAGGGATGTGGGTATGAGTGCAGTTGTTGGAATAGATACAAGGAAGAACTATAGTAACAGGATGGAAGTGGGAGTGTATGGGTGTATATGTGGGTGTCGATGTGGGGTGTGAGTAGGTGTTTATGTGGTTGAAAGAAAGATCCACACCGCCACCACTATACTGAGGGTATGGGTGTGGGTATTTTCTCTTACTCCATACACACACCCACACTCATATAATTTGTTCTGAATTTGAATGAAAAAATCCATTTCTAAAACTTTTTTAGTGTTTTTTCTGAAAATACAATTTCTAGGCAGGAAAAATTGAAATAATTCTCATTCCCCATGTAAAAACGTTTTAGCAAAAAATCAGACTAAAATCGATTTTTAATCAAAGAATAATCGATTTTCATCTAATTTTTTTTACATGGATTGACTCGAATTGTAACCGATGTTTTTTTTGTTTTAAAGGTCTCAATCAGAGCCAACTTTTCATCAGACAGAATTTTTATATTTAATTCCTAGACTGAGAAAAGTGGAAGTTACCCTCGGGATGTCACCTTTTTCTTACTGATTTTAAACACCATGTCTATGAAAATGCTCATAAAAAATGAATTGGAAAGAGTTTCAAAATTCCATCCGATGAAAATTTGCTCATAGAAGGCTAGCTTCAATTTAAAATCAGTCCGAGCTTTGCACGTCTTATAACGACGGATTTATTTTGATTCTTCTGAAAGGTAGGAAAAAAAACCCGAAGTTCGGTCACGCTAGATATATCCTGCTGAAATTTTTACCACAAGCATTTCTCATCAATACCAATCGTTCCTGGAAATTTCAGCTTCAAAGGCCCATTCTAAATGAAAAATTAATTCTGCGGTTGGCCTTAAAATTTTTGATATTTGCCGTACGCTGGAAAATACGAGTACAATTGACTAACTAACACATATTGATTTCGTTTTAATGTTTCATTTGTTCATTTTTTTGCTTTTTTTATCTTAGTTGCGAAAGACTGATTCGTCTCGACGGTGAACGGATTCAATATTTTATCGGTGACTTATGTCAATCACTTTTGTGTGAGTGCCTACACATACATTTTCTCATTATTAGAGGTGTCGGCTGAGCATTAGTATTAGGAATATGCTAATACAAAAGTATTAGAGTTAAAAAGGTAACTTGACACTTTTGTGTTAGAATTAAAAAATGACTTCGATACTGTGGCACTACTTTTTAAAAAAATATTACTCGAATGCGAAATCGACACTCCTACTCATAATAGCAGTGTTTTTCAGTATCTGAATGAATCTGAATATAAAAATTAATTCAGTAGTGTTAATATTCTCTTCGCTTAGCATTTATATTTTACAAAAAAACGACTCCTTTTTTGTACTGTAGTCTTGTAATTACAGTGTATTGTCTTCGTAAAAAATCGTGATTTGATGCATTATTTTTAATTTATGTTTATGGAAACTTTAGCTCGAAACGTTGAAGAATCACTGATGTAACATTCAGCTCATTTGTGTAGATCAACAAACAGATCAAAGTTGAGAAATTCCTTCTTTAAGCCTTCTACGGCTCCTAAAAAAATGAATCTTCGTCAGAATTATTATTAAAGTTAGAATAAATGCATAGAAGGATACTGCGAAACTTGATTGTGCCGATACTGATACAACGCTCCTCTGATCTTTTTTTCCTCTTTTCGGCTTCCTATTTATCGTATCTCTATTGTTTTTCCTAGTGCTCATTTCACTCTTTTCCTTTCTCATATATAAGCGTGTGTTGCATGCGAAGTAACTAAATAAACACCATATCTGAGAGTAACGATGAGCTACTCAATCCAGTTTGTCGTTAGGTTGATTTTTCATGAGTAACATGATCTTTTCTTTCATTTGATATCTTATTTCTGAGCAAAATGTCTCATGACTTCTGTCAAACAGTGCTTGAGAAAAAATGCTATGTTCAGAAAAAGTATAAAATCTGTTTCGTTTTTCCTCTGCTTATTCTTATTTGATCCAGCATCCCCAAATTTTTGAATGAGTTTCCTTGTAATCAATTGCTCTTTTTGTTTGGAAGAACATACTAAAATACAAGTGCAGTTGTTTAGTTATTGTGTTCTCTTTTTCTTTTAGAACTTTTCAATGAAATTAACTTCTTATAATTTACCTTCAGTTAAAAATCATGCATTCATAAAAGAAGTAAACGTATAGAGTGAGGATTGATAGATAGCCTTGAATTACAAAATGAACTAGTTTTGTCCTTGATTGATAAAAATCTCTCTAAAAAATCATGGTATACAGCTGAAAATTTTACTATAATCTCTCCCCTAAGCTCCCAACATATCATGAAAATTTCAGATAATTTTAATGTATATGGCGAAAAATCAAAATTTCTAGGGAAGGAAGTGATCTTAAGCAAAGATATATTGTCCAGTTATATATAAGTTACATAGTTACAATAGTTTTTAACAATTTTTCATCGACACTCAATTACAAGGAAACCTACTACCAAAACAAATCATGGCATCATTGGCAGTCACTGATCGATTTATTGAACTTTATCTCGGTTTATTTTTCTTGATTTTGGGTCCTATCGGCACTATAATGCAAATATTTATTTTAACAACTGTATCCTATTACCGAACGACTCCTTGTACATTCTATTTCTTTATCGCATCTATACGCGAATGTGGTTTATTTATAGCTGCAGTTGGTCCACTTGTTTTTGCCACTATTCTAGACATTGACATAACGCGTATCTCTGTTGTTTGGTGCAAGCTTCGTTTTTTTCTTGCTTTAAGTTCTGGTGCCGTTTCATCAGCATGTACATGTTTGGCTACTATCGATCAGTTTTTAGTCACATCTCAACATGATCGGTTTCGTCAATTGAGTAATATTAAGAATGCACATCGAGTTTCTTTATTCACTATTATCATCTGGTGGCTTCATGATACTCTTTGGTTATATTATCAGGACATGTCACCAGTTACAGGTGTTTGTACCTATAAAAGTAATATGTTTTTTCTCTATGCTATACTTTTCATCTGTATTATACTCTGTGGTATTCCAATTTTAATTATGATGATATCTGGAATTTTATCTTATCGCAACATAAGAAAAACAATTGTTCTCTTGCGTCTACGCGTTGATCGACAAATGACAATCATAGTTTTCATTCAAGTCGTGCTTACCTTAATAGGTCTTAGTCCATTTGGTATTTATACGGCTTATGCAGTTATAGCAGAAATGGTTCAGAAAAATACTGATAAAAAAGTCAAGAATGCTTTAATTTCTAACATTACTTATCTTTTTTGTTCAGTCGCTTATGGAGTAAGTGTTTTGAAAATATTTTGATCATTTTTTTGTCATGTACTTTTAGGGACGATTCTATATTCTTATGTTTTTCTCGTCTCGTTTTCATCGTTCTGTGAAGGATCGAATGTTATGTTGGCGACGATTACAACGCACTGTTCTTTTGCAAGAAGGATGACCTTCATACTACACAGTCTTGCTTCTCTTCTCACTTTCCTAGAGATCAATTATTCTTATGTTCTTTGATAAATTAATTTGTCGCTGTTTACATCGCAACAATTAGAGAAATTCATGTTTTAATATGATTAATCATAATACGTTTCATAATCATTTGGTTCAGACGAGACGCCTTCAAATTAACTGGATTGTGTAACGAGACCAATATCTATGTACAATTGAAGTGCGACTTTTATCTAATCGTTCGTGGCAGTGCCTGGATAAGCCCTTCATTTATGCTTTTTTTTATCAATGTCTAATGTAAAATTTTGATTCTTCCTGTTAAACCTCGTGATACTCTTCTCACAATAACCCTTCAGATAAAATCAATAAAAAAAATCTGTAAAAACGGGTCAAAAATAGAAACGTTTCAAATCGTAAAATCACACATCTTAACGAGTTACGTGCGCATAATAATTTTAAAACGAGTTTTTACGATGTCAGATAGTTTTAGGCATTCATAGTGCGCTTTTATATATTTTGCTTTTGAATGAAGCAAATTTTATGGGGAAAGGGATACCTCAATGTGGGTGTGAGTATTGTTGTTTATTTTCCCTGCATCGACACTCACACCCACACCCTTATCAAGAATAAGAGAACGCAGATGATACAGAGTATCAAGTAACCATTTAACGCATGATTAATGTTACATTTCTTTCAGCATAAAGAATAATATTCATTAATATTCTTCGATTATATAGTTCATTATCGGTTGCACCTGCAATTAAATCATCTACTAGAGAACTACCCATTAATATTCGTGTTGAGTATTGTTTAATATTGATATATCGTTCGACATAATCGAACATATTCGTATTTTCGTCGATTAATATAAAATACTGACCAGTATGCAATGAAAGAGATTAGTCAATCATGTGATCGAATTTCTATGGTATGGCTTGTTCGATTAAATATTCTTGATTGGCATATTTACAAAGACATTTGCATAACAATTGTGAACCATCAAAAATTCCATCAAAATGGATAGCTAATTGTCGTTGAACAATCGTATATGATTGTTGCTCTGTTAATGTATATATTAAACCATTTACGTCTTCTTTGATCAAAAAATAAAAGTTACGTTGACCAAAATGATTTTTATAT